CTAATCTTTTAGGCTGTGTGTTTTTAGGGGGTAGTCTCCACCATTAGTTTTTAGTGTTATTATTGTAAGAAATGTGTTAATTCCTTCCATTTTGTTGATTTCTTAGACTTCTATTGATTGACTATTCTGGTATTGTTTAGTTGTTACTGGGACCTCTTGGATGTGTTTGTTCTTTTTTTTTTCAAATTCCTTCTAGTATCCTCTATAGATCTGACTTGGTCATTGATTCATATAATCTGCATTTATCTTGTAAGATTTTTATTTCCCCTTCATTTTAATAGATAATTTTGCTGGGTATAATAGTATTGATTAACAGTTGTGATGTTTCAGAACTTGTACTAGACCTTTCCAAACTCTGCTGGCTTTGAAACTTTCTGGTAAATAATAATATTATTAATATGGGCCTGCCTCTGTAAGTGACTTGTGCTTTGTCTCTTGAAAGTCTCAATGTCCTTTCTTTCTTCTGCGCTTTTAATATTTTAAGAACAATATGTTGTTGGGAGTTTCTTTTCTGGTTATATCTATTTGGAGTTCTGTAGGACCCTTATACTTGGATAGGCATTTATTTGTTGAGGTGTGGAGAATTTTCTTTTATGATTTTACTGAAAATATATTCTATCGGTATAATATTTTTTCTTCTATGTCAATTATCCAACAATTAAATCTTTCATGGTGTCTTAAAACTTCTACGTTCCTTTCATGGATTCAGGAGCTTTTGAGGCTGTTTTCCTTCTGTTGAGTTGCCTCATTCAGCCTTGATATAATGGTTTTTGTTTTATATTATCATATTTTATTTTGTCCCATTTGGATGCTATCTCTTAGAAGACTATTCTTTTCCAATGAGAGACAAAAAGGGAGTGGGTCAGGATGGGGGGAGGGGAGAGAACTGGGAGTGGTAGAGGGAAAGGAAACTGTAATCAGGATATATCATATGAGAAAAGAATCTGTTTTTAATGAAAGGAAAAATGAAAACAATATTACCGACATTACTGAGTGATTTAATTGTTCTACCTTGTCTTCCAACTCTGACACTTTGTTTTTCATGTCATCCATTCTATTGCTGAAGTTTTTATTTGACTTATTGAATTCTTCATGCGCAGCTTCTTTCTAGTTTGTTTGTTTTCAGTATTGTCTTCTTACTGAACTCCATTTTTGATCGTATAGTGACTCTCCTTTTATATTCATCTCTGTTTCTATCTTCTTTGAGTTGTTTGAGCATAGTTACAATAATTCTCTTGAATTCTCTGTCTGGAAGCACTTCATGATCATCCTCATTAGAATCTATTATTGCAGCATCAGTAAGTTTTGGAGAAGACAGTTGTGTTATTTCAAGTTGTTTTTGCTTTTGGAGTAGGATTTTCACATTTGGAATTCTTTGGTTGAGTAGGGATGCAAAAAAACCTGGAGACTCCTTACTGGTTAGGCCAGAAGCTAAAGCAGCTTTAGAATAGTGGACTTGACCTTCAGGACTTATTATCCTTTACCTTTTGGCACTAGGGTCTGGCTAGACTGGGTAAATTTGGATTGCATGATCAGGACTAGGGAACCCAGAAAAATTTGGACCAAGTAATTGGGACCTGAGCCATCCTTATAATTTGGGGGCAGGAACTAAGAGAACTCAGACTAGAGAAATATGGGCTAACTGTTTGAGGTTTAAAGGCTGGCTTCCTTCTCCCCCCCCTCTCTGTAATTCAGTTCAAGACTCCTGCCCATAGGAGAGTACTGATCACATTCAAGGTAGGTTTTCTCTCCCTCATTTAAACCTTTCTGGAAAAGTCCTCACAGATACACTCAAAGAATTCTCAAATGATTCTAAATCCAGTCAGATGAACAGGATGAGTAAATATCATAAGGCCACTCCTTGTTCACTTGACACCCAAACACCTCTATTTAAATAGCATTCAACCTCTGCTCCCAAATGCCTTATGGTTATTTCCTAATTAAAAAAAAAACACTTATTTAATCCGTGAAAATCCCCCAAATGTTAAACATTACTAATATTCAAAAGCCCAATTTCAAAGACCTAAGGCTATCTCAAAAGTATGGGCTCCTGTTAAATGAAACAACAACAAAACCAAGTTACATACTTCTAATATACAAAGGCACAGAATTGTAATTCCAAAAGGGTGAAATGTGGAGACAGCATGGAAGAATTAGACTAAACAAAGACAGAAGCTCGACAAGCCAAACACTAAATCCTGCGGGAGCATCTGTGCCTGGTAGGCATGCAGTGGCATCTTTTGTATTCTAGGGGCTTTGGGCAATGCTGTGCCTGCAGCCCTGTAAAACATCTTTCCTCATGAGCCATCTCCACTAGTGCCTAAAGTTTTTCCTTGAAAGATGTTCACAGTCTCGGTACCTCTAACATCCTGGGGTCTCCTTGGCAGCTTTACCTTACAGTTCAGAGGTTTAGTCCATTGTCATGGAGGGAAGCATGGCAGCATGCAGGCAGACATGGTGCTGTAGAAAGCTAAGATGGGCACACAGCAGGAAGAGAGAATGACCCTGGGCCTAGTTTGAGCTTCTGAAATCTCAAAGCCCGTTCCCAGTAACAAACTTCTTCCAACAAGGCTACACCTCCTAATAAAGCCACTCCTTCCCTATGAGCCCAACATGTACTATTTTATTCTGAGCTCTGATACAAAATAAAGCCTTATTCCCTTCAGTTGCTTTAATGTATATGTTTTATTAAATTTTGAGAATTTTATACCGTTTTGATGGTATTCACACCTTACTCCTCTCAAATCTAGGGTGATCTATTCAGGGCATTACATTTAAAAAAGCAGATGCTCCCTCTCACAGTCTTCTATTGCTTCCAGCTAGGGCTGGGGCTTCATCACCATTTCCCAGCTCCATACTGGGACTTAATCTGTATTGATCTTATTTTTCCCAAGTCTTTAGTCACAGAGATGAAAGTAGTAACTACTGTATACACAGAAGAGTAAAGATTTAAAAGTAGAGCAGATTTTAATCAGAAATTTTTCCAGAGAGAAGTCAATGGAAGAACATCTATCTACATTACTGATGAAACGCAATGTGAGCCCAGAATTCTATTATCATTGAAAAGCTCTTGGGTACAATGTAGACTGTTTTAGACAAAACAAAACAAAAAACAGAAAGAAAAAAAGGAGAAACATAATTGTTAGGCAACTTCTTTGCTAAAATATTAAAAGAAGCCAGGTGTGTATGTCTGAGTTCGAGGCCAGCCTGGTCTACAAAGCTAGTTTCAGAACAGCCAGAGTTACACAGAGAAAAACGGTCTCAAAAAACCAAACCAAACAAGAAAACATAAAAAATGTTAAAGGAAATACAATATTAGACAGAAGTGAAGATCTACTCAAAGAAATGAATATGATTACCCTCATCTGGTGGGTCTTCCCGTCTAGTGTGAACTTCCCTAGAACTGTCCTCAAGGGCACACTCGGAAGTATACCTTCTACATGATACTTTTAGATATACACAAAATGAAAATCAACCAGCTCAATTCATCACACCCTGCCCATCTCCCCTCTGGTTTCCATCAAATGTTTCTTGTCGTCTTGGTTTTTAACTTGAATTATTTAGATTGAGAGTGACTTGGAAGCTATTTATTCTTTGTGTTTTAAGAGTGTCTTGAATTTGGGATTTTCCCTATTCCATTAAGCTTCAAATTCTCCCGGCTACCATTTCTCATTGTCTTCTTCCCTTACCTTTTTTTCATTTTCCCTCTTTGATAGTCCAATCTCCTACACTGGACAACTTCTTAAAAAGCTGCTGTACCAACTTTTAGTCTTTATATCCCACCCTTTCTCCTTCTTTCTTCCATTTTTGGGATTCAGGTTTCTTTTGAAATTTCCACTGGCTTTTCTTTATTACTTGTTTCTTTAGCTTGACTCTGTTGATGATCCTAGCAAAGGCAGTCTTCATCTCCTCCACTGACATTTTTTATGTCATTTCAATTTCATATTTTCCTTATAGTTTTCATTTGTCTGTAGAATCTTCCCATTTTTCATACAAATTGCCTACATTTTCCACTTTAAAATATTAATCATAGTTTTATTACATTTCTTCTCTCATATTTCAAACTTCATGTATATTTGAAGCTGGTACTATTAACTGCTTTTATTCTTGACATTGTATTTCCTACCCGATACCTTCTCCATGAGTCTTATAGCTTTGATTGAAACCTGCACGTATTTATTGTCCTTTTAATTATATAAATACTTTTAAATGCACTTGAATTTTGCTTTTACTAGGCTGAATCACTCTGTTTGAATTAATCTGAGTTAGCTAAGTTAGCATTTTCTTCCTGCTATAAATCCCTTGATGCTCTATAAGTTTCAGATTCCTGAAATAATGCTTTGTATTTAGTGTCAAAGACTGAGTTGTTGGATGGATAGTGTCAATGTGTTTGCTTTCACTTAGTTTTGATGTTGTTTGTAAAAATCTCTTTATATCATCTAACTGATCCTCAAACACCCGGCCACATGTTAAGTTTCACCTGGCGATTGATTCCAGCTTAAGGGGGAGTTACAAACTATAACAACTCAATCGTATGCCTACAGTTCACTGATCAGATTTCAGCTCATTGGGATACTTCTCACTCCAGAATTTTCCTCACTTTTTGGAAGCCCATCAATGTCATATGATTAATTCAGAAATCCAGTTGTTTGGTAGTATGTAGCAGAACTTTTGAAATATTTAAGCTATATCAAAATTCAAAGATCTTAATAATATATTTTGTAATATTTCCATACTGACAAAGGTACACATGCATTCCTCTAATGCTTAAGGATTTAAAGAATTCATATCCCCACTTATAAATATAGACTATTACATTATATAGTGAATCTCATTGTGTAGATTACCTATAAACTTGTATCAACATATACTTTAAGATTTATTTCTTTTTTCATTTACATTAAAAACATTTATTTCAGGAAATGTTTGCCCCTGCACAAGTGGAGCTGGGTTCAAGGGTACCAAAATGATATCTGGGAGGACTGCATGGACCATCAAAGTCAAACAATAAGGTCTAAATATACTGCAACAACAGTGAGGCTTAGGACTATGTGGGGAGAAGATTTTGAGTGTGACCCCTTGGATGATAACTTGAGTGTATGATGTGTTGTGAGCTCTGATTGGTTCTTTTCTTTATACTGTTTCTAACGTGGCAGGACTAAGTGACAAACACTGTCCAGCTGCTCCTCTGGAATCATGTCCTCCAGGGGACTTTGCCATCCGTTTTTCTCCCGTACCCGTTCCACCTGTCCGAAGACCCGCAGCAGGTGTCCTCGAAGGACACCTTGCAGCTCCTGCTCACTCCAGCCCCGTCTCAGCAGCTCCTCTATGAGCATTGGGTATGTAGACATGTCCTCTAGCTCCTGAGGGAACTGTGCAGTGCCGTCGTAATCCACACCAATCCCGATGACCTCGGATCCAATGACTGCCTTGATGTGGTCAAAGTGACCTGCCACAGTGGACACATTGGCTAACGGGTTGCACTGCAGCACCCCTGCAGAGAATGTCACCATCACGATGCCACCATTCTTCTTCAGAAGCCGTAAGATGTCATTAGGAAGATTCCGAGCATTTCTGCGCACACCCCTGGCAGCTGAGTGGGAGAAGATCACAGGTTCCTGGGACACTTCCAAGGCCCTCTGTACAGTAGCATCCGAGACATGGGATAAATCAACCATTGTACCCAAGCGATTCATTTCTGCCACCACCTTCGGTGAGGGATATGCATATGCGTGCATTGATCATTCAGAAAAGGTGCGTGTGGTTTGTGTGGCCCGGGGTATCACTCAGTCCTTACTTCACCAAAGCTGGTCAGTCCTTTGTCGCTGCTGTAGAATGAGTGCACGTCCTTAGATGAGCTCTCTGCCCAGAGTGTGTTGCAGGTGTGTGTGAGCGTCAGGTAGCGCACCCGCAGCTGGTAGAAACTTCGAAGCACAGAGAGGCTGTTACCTAGTGAGTAGCCACCCTCCACACCAATGAGGCAGGCCAGCTTCCGGGTGCTGTTCTGAGCTTTAACCGAGGTCACAAGCTCCAGCTCAGGATAAGAGGCACACACACTGTGAATGAGGTCAATCTGCTCCAGGGTGAGGTGCAAGGCATCCCGGTCCTGGGTCTGACACAGTAAGTAAGCGGACCAGAACTGGGCTCCCACGAAGCCATCTCTAAGCCTATTCAGGTTGGTATGGCCATAGATGAAGTTTCTCATGTTGGCGTCCTGTAGCCCATTCAGGTAAAATTGCCTCAGAACAAGAGGCAGGTCGTTGTGGCGTTGACCCGAGCAACGTGGAGAAAGTCGATTCCAGTGTCCTTTTGTTCACAGCCTGAAGACTCCTTTGAAGCAGTTGAGGTGAAGGGCAGGGTTGCTTAGTGGCCAACGTTGCCACTTTTATGGGCAGAGTTTCTTCAGTGTCCACCAGTCTTCTTGGAGGAAATGGGGTAGTGCCAGCAGCTGGCCTGTCTCTCAAATCGCAGCCGCTGTTGGATATAAAATGTAGCGTTCCAGTCGATGAAAAGTGGGCTGTTGGTCCGATGTTGCAGGTTACCTGCGTGGTCACCTGCTGGGTCGGCAGGCTGCCGAAGCCACAGGGAAAGCCTGTCCAGGTCAGGGAACCAATGTTGTTAAAATGTTTAGATTTATCCAGTAACAAGACACAAACCTTGACTCAATGATCTCATGTGGAGTTTATTGGTAGACAGGGAGGGAAAGGGGGGTAAGAGGTAACCAACCCCATGCAGAGGAGAGAGAGAGAGAGAGAGAGAGAGAGAGAGAGAGAGAGAGAGAGAGAGAGAGAGAGAGAGAGAGAGAGAGAGAGAGAGAGAGAGAGAGAGAGAGAGAGAGAGAGAGAGAGAGAGAGAGAGAGAGAGAGAAAGGGAGGAGATGAGATGGAGAGTAAGATGAGAGTAAAAGAGTAAGAGAGCAAGATTTATTTCTAAAAAAGGAATTGCTAGATTAAAGGCATCTCATTAGGTTTTGGTACCCTTTTCAGACCATATACACATACACACAATTTATTTGTTTGTTTTTATGCATATGGGTATTTTCCCACACATATGTATGTGCATCACACACATGCCATCTACCCATAGAGTTGAGAAGAGGGAGGTGGATTCCTTAGAACAGGAGTTATAGATGTTTATGAATTAACATGGATGCTGGGAATTAAACTTGAGTCCTCTTATCTCCAGTTCTGTCTTTGATTATAATAAAATCTTGGCTACATGGAGCACATCAACATTACTAAGAACACAAGTAATATTGATGGTTTAGTACAATGGTCTTAATTTTTACTTTGCCATGTATTTTATGTCTGGTTTTAGATATGCTTATTGATTTACCTGATTGGTTCTTTGGTTCATTTTAAACATAAACTGAAGATGCTGAGAGATATTATATTTTATTCTAAGGATGGTAAAGTGGATCTGATGTGTGGTGCTTCGGAATGCTAGTTTTTCATCTTCTTGTGTACGATACAGGCATCAGATATCAAGTGTCTTCTAGATCTAGTTTAGTGGTTTATTATTTCATTCATTTTTGAATTGCCTGACTTTGTAGTATTTGGATTCTAATTATGACTCCTTGACTCAATTCCCTTCTACCTCCAATATAACATAGCTGCAGTTATTTAGACTAAAGATAAACAAAAGTCGGCCTAACATGGCTTCCTTTAATCACATTCAATTTTACTTTTCTTTAAATTAGACATGTTTCAGTTTCAATTACAGATTTGTTCCTAGAGAAATGGTCAAAATATTTGGCTGTTCGCTATTTATTATTTAAGTAATTTAGGTCATTTTGTATATGTCATTTTTTATTTGGTCTTGGAGAGAATGTCTATAACCCGTGTACTGATCATATTCTGAGGTCTGTTTCTATTTTTATCCTGTTAATTTCCAAGCCCACCATTCTATTTTATACTTCGTATTAAATGCTATAGCCATATATATTTTGTCTGACCACTACTTCCACCTTAAAAAGGTGTGTTACACTTTTGTGAGAAACTCTAATTATCTCAGGTACAAGAATGAGACTCTTAGTTTAAATCAGTTAATCAGACTTTCTCAAAATAGCCACTGATGCAAAGTAACTCACTATCTCATGTGTCTGATTGTGTCTATTGGAAATTTTGAAATTCACTCAATTTGTATCTATGTTAAGAATTTCTGCACTTCTACAAGTTTTCCTCTCCCCACCATCGAAAGGTAACCTTCCTCTTCCAGAATGTGTTTTCCTGTTAACTAGGAATAAAATGTTCTCTTCTGTCATTGTAGGAAAAGTATTTGTATTTTATCTGTAATGAGAAAACAATGAAACTTTATCAAAATAGTTTTGAGTATGGCTATATTTGTAATAATTTTTCCAGCACTAAGCTGAAGTTGGGATAGAATAGCATTGAAAATAAATTTACTTGGAGATAAACATAGGTTACAGTTCAGAATATAAAATATAAGAATATAGGCACAGACTCCCCATCCTCAATTTTGAAAAGACATTGCTATAAATTCTATCTTGCACGGAAATATCTGTTAAAGCAACAGAATGTATTTCAGACTGTTTTGCCATATTTCTATAATGTGATATGAGTTCCACTGATATACAATCCATTGCTACACTTTGTCTTCTTCACTAGCAACATCATTCAGTAACTTACATAAGTAGATGCTATGGTTCATCTCTAAGTTTCCCCTTTGGACCAATGCCCAGATATCCCCAGTTTGTTGGGAATGTCAGTGGTTGATGGGTCCAAATGAATCCTTTCTGAAAATAACTCACTACGTCATTGTAATTAGAATCATCTTCTCTTCTTTCATTTCTGTTTCTGTGATAAGATGCTCCAACAAGAAGGATTTGTGAGAGAAAGAAGTTTATTTCAGTTTCTAGTTCTAGTTTATAGTTCAGCACAGTAGAGAAGGTGCAGTGGCAGGAGCCTGAAACAGCCAGAGATATTTTACTGTAATAAGAGCAGAAAGACAGGAATGCACACATGCTTAGTACTTAGTTAGCTTGCTGTATTCTTATACAGCCCAGGGTTCATAACCAGGAAATGGTACCACACACTTTCAGGCTGGGTCTTCCTACATTAATTGCTCTAGCCTTGGTAATTTCCTAAATACAGGCCAGCCTGATGTAGATGATCCTTCATCGTGACTCTCTTCCTCCCAGGTGATTCTAAGTCATGGGTACTTGAGTCATAATATATGGAGACATCATGCTGGAACCAAGCTGAAAGCTTAATTTTTACTGACTAACTTCCACAATGCTGGAAGTTTTGGTTCACACTTCTGGGGGAGAACAATCAACAGTCTTATCTGGCTTGTGAATACTCTAAGCTATAACTACAACTGACTGCCAAGCTATGCCAACTGATGCAGCAGTGATACAATTGTTATGAAAATAACTTGCCACATTTTGATTAGAATTAAGACCAACTTCACAAGATGGATCTCACTACGTCAGTCATAGACTGTAGGGGAGAACTTGATATTATTCCTCTGTTAAGTGGACATAGTATTATACTGTACCAAGTACTGTCTTCATGCCAATGGATTAGTGTGTCTCTCAAAGCCTGCACTATAGATGCTTATTTCTGTAGTAGATGGCTATTAATTCAGAGACCCAGAATCAGTCAACATGCATAGAATAAGAGGCACAGGAACGCTCCTCCTAAATGAGACGTCTGTACCTATCTCTATCACCCAAGGACCAGCAATCACCCTGGGAGAAAGGGCAGAAAGAGTATAGGAACCACAGGGTATAGATGACTATAGCAACACAGTGTTTTCTAAGAAGGGACTGTTGCACACATGAACCCCTAGTGGCCGTGACTATATGCATGTGACCTGTGCAAGCTCAAACTAAACAAAAAAGCATGGATAAGAAGAGTGTTTTGATGTCCCACCCTTACCTGAGAAGATACTGGCAATTAATGGATATTGGGACCGGAAGAGACAGTTTTCTTCAGGGATGTTACCCTTGAGAGTTTGCCTTTGTTTTGTTGGGTGTCTCTACACCCATACACATACTGACAACCTTAAGTGAACATAGTGTTACTTTGTTTGTTTTTGGGACTTGGGAGCACAGAACAGTGGGAAGATAGGGAAGGAATCTGAGTACAGGGAATTGGGGTGGGCAGTGCAGAGTGAATTTGGTAATTTGCTTTTCATGGAAGGCCTTACCCTCCTTGGGGATTGGATTGGGGGGGTGGGATTGGGCTATTGGTGGAGGGCATGGAATGATGGGAGGGAGAGGGAACTGGGATTGATATGTAAAATAAGAGTGTTTCTACATTAAATAAAAAAGATTTAAAAATTAACATTTAAAAATAAATCTTTAAAGAAACATAAAAACAAACCTAGTCATCACTGCTCTGATCTTTGGGGTCAGTGTCAGCTGTGACCTACTCTATAGGAAGTATAAATATCTGTTCCTCTTGTCTTTGAGAAGAGTCTGTGAGTTAACCTGGTCCAAGGCTCACTGTAGGATGGTCTGAGGCCTGGCTTGTGACATCACTTCAAGTCAGCTTTTACTGCTCATCTGCCTAATTAATTTCATAATAGGCATTATTCCAGAGGACACAGTTCTTATGTTTGATGATAGTCTTTACCCCTCTCTCCAATGTTATACTGTTTTACCCCGAATTAAAGAGAAATAATGCTAATATATCAACAAACCCTACAATTTGAGACAATTTGCCATAAACTTCTGATTCATTCAGCCATCCAAACTTGGAAATAGTTATAAAGTAAGGCTGGTCATGATGTTGCACACCTTTAATCCCAGCACTCAGGAGGCAGAGGCAGGCCTATCTCTGGTCTACTCTGCCAGTTACAGGACAGCTAATGCTACATAGAGTGACTATGTCTGGAACAAAACAGAGCAAAACAAAACAAAACAACAACAAAAACAAGTGAAAATTACTATTACTATCTGTTTTTCAAGGGAACTTTTTCCTCCTAAGAGAACTACCTCAATTGCACAGGTATGTAGCAATGAGACAGCAGAGGTAAGTTATAAAACATGTCAGCTGCAGAGCAGGCATTATGCCTTAAGCTACTCATTAACTCTACCTCTCACTTCTCCAAAACATCAATTGAACACCTGAAAAACATAGTTTGGAGAGAGACCATTTAAGTCTTGTGTCTTTGCAGATCAATGGAATATTTAGGACATGAGATTTTACATTATGAAAGACTACTTTTGTAGAACCTATCTCTCATTTTAAAGTACATTCAGTGCCACACCTACATATTAGATATGACCTAACTGTTAGCTATTGAGAAAAAAGTGTTTGATAATTAATTATACGCAA